AGTTTGAGGTTGTTGTGAGCTAGGCTGATGCCACGGCACTCTAGCCCAGGCAACAGAGTGAGACTCTGTCTCAAAAAAAAAAAGAAAAAAAAGAATGACATATTAATATTGTCATATTAATATGACATAAAAAAGAAATAATTAGGGCAAGACTAATAGACTTTATTACATAAAACTTTAAAATTTCTATCACCAAAAGACTCCACAGGCAAAACTGAAAGCAAACATTAGTGTGGGAAAAAAAATCTCCAAGTATATTCCAGACAAAAGGCTAATATTGCCAATAAGTAAGAGCTACCATAAACCAGTAAGAAAATTATAGGAATTACAATTTAAAAACAGACAAGATATAAGCAGGTAATTTGTAAAGGAGAAAATAATGGGCAAAAATATCCTTATCCTAACTTCATAAAATACACAAAGAGGAAGACTATATTATATAATATATACTGGATTCATACAAACCTGTGATATTGCTCTGTCAGGTAATAATGAAATGTCAAATTCTCGAGTCTCACCTACAAAACAGACTTCGGAAAAACTTAGTTCAGGAGAAATGGATGCGTCTTTAGAAGCTACTTTTAATTTTAACTTATCTTTCCACTTTTGCAATTCAAGTTCATGTTTTAACAACTGCAATGAAAATAATTTACAAATTCCATGGAATTTTTGTAAGGTTCAAATGAGATGATAGATATAAAGCACAGTACTTGACATAATGACAGCACCAATTACACATTATTTATCATTATTACACAAATCATAATTTCCCATGTGCATGTTTAATATTCTCTGAACCACCAAAGCATTATAGATCATTTCCATTAATTGTCATAAAACAGTGGCATAGGCAGCCACCTTGAAGATTTGATCTAGTCTCCTCTTTAATAAATGAGAAAGCTGAAGCCCACAAAGTCAAGGCTTTGGTCCTGACAGAAATGGTATTTGGTGCATGGAAGGGAGGTAGGTAACAATGAGATAACAAAAAAGGGGAGTCAGAAGGAAAGTATTGGGGACTTGCCTGATTTACTGCTGCAGGAAGTGCCCATTTTAATTTTTGGTACATTCCTAAAAACTGTGTAATAAATAAAAAGCTCTATGGATAATAAGTATTCCATTCATAAATGCACGCATACACAATACTGGTGTGATACATATACATATCAGAGCCAAAGGAGGAGCACACGTGGAGCACTAGCAAACACAGGTGTTCAGTCCCTCTGCTCCCAGCACACACCAACCATCGTCGCTCTACTTAAGTGAATGAAGAATGATTGTTAGGCCAAGAAATCATGTATCTAGAAGAAAAGGTTCTTTCTAAACATCCAATTAACTATATAAAACACATATATATTAAGGATAATATAGTATATATCAGCTACAGCAGCGGTCCCCAACCTTTTTGGCAACGGAGACCAGTTTCGTGGAAGACAATTTTTCCACAGACAGGGTGGGGGATTGGGGGGAAGCAGAGCCCCGAAGGTGATGTGAGTGATGGGAAACAGCTATAAATACAGAGGAAGCTTTGCTTGCTCGCTCAACGCTCACCTGTTGTGTGGCCCGGTTCCTAACAGGCCACAGACAGTACCAGTCCACAGCCTGGGGTTGGGCACTGCAGAACTACGGCACGCAAAACATAAGCTCAGTGTATTGGGAAGACTGAGAACAATACTGTCTGCTCTCTGGGATGTTCAGCTTAAGGCAGGTGTAAAGGGGATGACTGGTTACCTATTTAACACCAGCCAATCAGCCATCAGGCACAGAGGGCAAGGAACAAAACCTAGCTTGGTGGGACTGAAAATTAGTACAACCTCTATGGAAAACAGTATGGAGAGTCCTCAAAGATATAAATGTAGATTTACCATTTCACCCAGCAATCCCACTGCTGGGTATCTACCCAAAGGAAGTCATTTTATCAAAAGGATACCTGCATTCCAATGTTTATCGCAGCACAATCCACAACTGGAAAGATGTGGAATCAACCTAAGTGCCCATCAATTCGCGAGTGGACTAAGAAAATGTGGTGTGTGTACATATACATGTATTCACACACACACACATACACACACCCCATGGAGTACTACTCAGACATAAAAATGAATGAAATAATGTCATTTGTAGCAACTTGAATGGAACTGAAGACCATTTATTCTAAGTGAAGTATCTCAGGAATGAAAAAAAGCAAACACCACATATACTCTGATAATTAGGACCTAATTGATGGGCACACATAAACACAAAGAGATGCAAAGTCACTGGAAATCAAGAAAGGGGGAATGGGATAGGTGTAAAAACTTACCTATCAAGTAGAAATAAACACTATTTGGGTGATGGGCACACTAAAAGCCCCAACTTAAGCATTATAAAAGCTATCCATGTAACAAAAACATTTGTACCCCCTTAATTCTTTGAAATTTAAAAAAAAATTTAAGTGGAAAAAAAAACCCCACTAGCTTGGTACACAAAGTGGTAGAAAGCACTGAATGAGCAGACTAACATGATGGTACCCAAAGTGGAACTGTTTAACTGGCAATGTTGAAAAGGCAACAGCTAGAGGACGGCCTACAAGAACGCCAGCTCAAAACCCAGAGATCAGGCTGGGTGCAGTGGCTCACACCTGTAATCCTAGCACTCTGCGAGGCGGAGGCGGGCGGATTGTTTGAGCTCAGGAGTTCGAGACCAGCCTGAGCAAGAGCGAGACCCCGTCCCTGCTA